TCAAAGTGCTTAGGAAGCTAAGAGTCTGAGACGCATGGCTGGAAAGCTTACTTTGCTTCTCTTTAGAGGAGCCTTTATCAGTCTGGCTGGCTTCTCACCCATCCTTTTCTCCAGCATCTTTCAGACAAGCAGGGACATTTTGGTACCCACTGTCTTCCTTGTGTAAATTCTTCCTCTTTGTTAGTGGAAGGTCACGTCTGTCATGATGACATAGAACTTTCTGATAAGCAGGCAGAAGCCTGGGTGACATGGACACATGTAAGATATGAAAAGGTAGAAGCTAGACTCCTTTCTGCTTTAGGATATTGAAATGAGCAGATGAAAATGCTTATGTCTGTTATAACCCGTGTCCTGAGCCACACCTCCAGGATTTTAACATAACTTATTACTGTTGATAGCTTGTGTATTACAACTAAATCCAGAGTCCAGAACGACCATGAACTGTATATTAGTCTTAGCATGTTATATGCCAGGCTTTAGTCCCAAGACAGCTTGAGTGTCTACAAAATCCATCACATTGGCCTCATTTTTGAGGAAGTTCTCTCCCACAGGCCTAATCCTGGAGTTTGTTTTTTATTTTGTTTGTTTGGGTTTTTTTAATCTTCTTAATCTTTCTCCAAGTCTGATGGCATGCTCATCATCCTCACTATATAGAGTTCAAATGTAATGTTTTTGGCTCATTTTGACTTACCCTTTAGAACAAAAGCCCTAAAAATGTCAGTCTTTTAGGCTTTACTCTATTGTAACTGCAATGGACTATCCTTTCTAAGTGTGTTTCATTCTGTATTCTCTGATTGTGAACTCCTTTTTCTAATAAAGTCCTCAAAGTGGATTCCTGCCATTCCCATAGTCCTCAAAGCTGCAAGGGTATAGAGCAGAAGCTAATGGCCCCTGGAACTCTGATTGGAGAATATGGAGAATATTCTGTGAACACAGTGGCAATGGGAGGGAGAGAGGGGGCAGCCAGGTACATCACTCTTGGCCTATTGGTATTAAAAACAAACAACTGATTCTCACCTCTTATTCTCTTTGTAACTCCCTAGTATTTTTTTACTCAATAAAATATTTGTAGAATGTGAAATATTGGTAGGAAATATCAAGTTATATTGCTCTGTAGCTAAGTTCTAGCTTGCTAAGCGTTTAAGAGCTGAAAGGTTCATAGAGTTTTAAAAGCAATATACATAGTCCCTGAAGGAAACCACAGCTGTGTAGTAATCTTGACTTGAGCTAATTTTTCATCTCTTTGGGAATTAGCCACCAAGTGCAGAATTCTCCCCGACAGCAGGGCGCAGTTGACACTAGGGACCAACTAGAGCATTGTGTGGTTCACACAAGAGTTCCAGTCTGTGCTTGCCTCTGCCAGCATGCCCCAGCTGCAAATGCTGAGAGGCTGAGAGGTAGCAGGAAATCTGAAGGCTTTCTGCTTGCAACTGCCCTCCCCCAGCAAATCTGCATGCACCCCAGGCCTCATACTGGGTTTTGTAAGTCTATACAGTGTATTTGAGGGAGGCCTTTAAGGGACAAGAGCTGCACCTTTTATCACAAAGCAATCTGGTCCTGCAGAAGGATAGAAGTACTCATGACGGAAGCACCCGAACTGTCCTGGCCCTGGAGTGCCTCCGTGAAGTCTTAGTTCACACCTCTGTAAATGGTATGCCCATAATGAGCCACAGCAACTGAGTTCCGGAAAGCAGAATCAGGTCTGTGACTCTAGCTTGCTCTCCTTTGTCTCATCACTGAGTTATGATTGGCACCCTGTTGCCACCCAACTATGCTTTCATGGTGCTTTTGACTTGTCTTTGGAGCTGGTTTGTAATCACGTGTTTTCCGAAGGAAACCTCAGTTTTAAGATGCAGAACCATTATCAACCCATCCTTTCTGCCCTCTCCTTGCGGCCCTCACAAGTACTTTGCTCTTTCTTGTTTGTGATAGCAGTGTCACTCCTGAATAAAGCTGTGGATGTGGCCAGGAAATGCTATTAACGGATTAGGGTTGTCTGCATGTTGTTGGCAACACACACAGTTTATGCAAAGAAGAGTCCAGAGGTCTTGCGATGGCCCCTTGTGTCTCTGACCTAGCTAGGTTCATTAATCTTGGACTGATTCCATTGGCCCAAGATCGCAATTGCAGCCACCATGTCCAATTTTTTAGAGGTATGTAGTTATGTGTGTCTATGTATGCACACATGTGCCATAGCGTGCATAGGAAGTCAGAGGACAAACTTACAGGAATTAGTTCTTTCCTACCCTATAGGTTCTAGGAACAAAACTTATGTCTCAAGGTTGGTAGCAAGTGCCATTTCCTGCTGAGCCATCTCACCTCTGGGTCCTGGAAGTAAAAAGGATGAAAGGGAAGGAGAATGAGTTCCATATTCTTTTAGAGATATCGCCGTGTATCACATGATGAGCAGGAGAAGTCCTAAGGACTTATTCATTGCTCCTTTACTTAAACACACAGCGATGTTGTCTTAGTTACTGTCCTGTCGCTGTGATGAGATACCATGACCAAACCAACTTATAAAAGACAGTACTTTACTGGGGGGCTTGCTTAAGTTTCAGGGGGGCTAGTCTATGACCATCATGGTAGCATGGCATCTGGCAGACAGGCGTGTGCTGTGGAATAATGCTTTTGTACACTAGTTTAATAAAACGCTGATTGGCCAGTAGCCAGTCAGGAAGTATAGGTGGGATAAGCAGACAAGGAGAATTCTGGGAAGAGAAAGGCTGAGTCAGGAAAAGCCAGCCTGCCGTCCAGGGAGCAGCATGTAATGACACACAGGTAAAGCCACGGAATATGTAGCAACATATAGATTAACAGAAATGGGCTGAGTTTAAGTGTAAGAGCTAGTCAGTGGTAGGCCTGAGCTAATGGCCGAGCAGTTTTAATTAATATAAGCCTCTGTGTGTTTACCTGGGTCTGAGTGGCTGTGGACCAAGTGGGACACAGGAAAACTTTCAGCTATAGGCATGACACTGAGCCAGTAGTTGAGAGCTTCCATCCTGACCCATCTGCAGACATCAGGTAGAGAAAGGGTGGAGGAGACTGACACTGGGCTTGTTGTGGGCTTTTGAAGCTTCCTAATCCGTCCCACACAGTTCCACTAACTGGGGACCAAACATGAAAATTTATGAGCCTATGGAGTTCATTCTCATTCAAACTACCACAGTGGTTTAGGGGACTTCATACCTAGACTCTGTGGGCTAGCCTGCTGATTCTAGGCTACCTGTACATAGCATGGTACTTGCACTAAGTACTGTAGGCAGCTGTAACACAGTGGCAAGTATGTGTGTGTCCAAATACATCTAAACGTGGAAAGGTACAGAAAATATATCTGTAAAAGATTAAAATGGTGCCTCTGCTGTGGATATCGTTCTGTATAAATAAAACACTGATTGGCCAGTGGCCAGGCAGGAAGTATAGGCGGGACGAGGAGAGAGGAGAATTCTGGGAAGTGGAAGGCTGAGTGGGAGAGACACTGCCAGCCGCCACCATGACAAACAGCATGTGAAGATGCCGGTAAGCCACGAGCCACGTGGCAAGGTATAGATTAATAGAAATGGATTAATTTAAGCTATAAGAACAGTTAGCAAGAAGCCTGCCACGGCCATACAGCTTGTAAGCAATATAAGTCTTTGTGTTTACTTGGTTGGGTCTGAGTGGCTGTGGGACTGGTGGTAGACAGATTTGTCCTGACTGTGGACAAGGAGAAAAACTAGCTACATGCCTCCATATAGGATGATTATCACAGATGGACTTGCAGGGTTGGAAGTTGCTCTGAGTGAGCCTGTGAGTGAATGGTAAGTGAAAGTCAAGGCCTAGGACATTGCCATTACTTTAGAAACACTGTATGCTTAGTGGGCCTTCAATTTAGAAAAAGTTTATAAAAATATTTCTGTCTCCAATGATGAATTATCCTTATTTTTCTTTTTAAACACTAAAAGTTTCTGTGTTTGTTTCCTTCCACCATGGGTTCTAGGGCTTGAACCCAGGTGGTCAGGCTTGGCAGCAAGCACCTTTAACCACCTAGTCACCTCACTGACCCACTTTTTAAAAATTCAAACTCTGATAACAACTTAAAACACATGCTGTACAGCTACACAAAAATATTTTCTTTACATGCTTACTCTGTAAGCTTTTCTCTATCTTTTGTGCGTGTGTGTGTGTGTTAAAACTTTTCCTAAGAACTAACATATAAACACACACCTTCTCCTAGGCCTAGAGAGGGTCGGGCCTGCATCTTACCCTATGGGCACTAATGTGCATGTAGCTCTTCCCTACAACAGAAAGGCCTTTTGGACTCTCTCCTGAAGGAGGACACTAGAGCTCTCTCTGGGGCAGGTTCTTCCTTCCTTCACACTTTACAGAAGTGCTTCCATGGTGGCTTGGTTGCTCTGTATCTTCTTGTCAATCAGACAGTTCTCTATGAGCATCCCTCTCTGTCAGTGAGGACATCTTGGTATTGGGTGTCGATGTTTTCCAATGCATTCCTGAGCTACTTGAAGTCTGAAGTCTTCTCCTAACCCTTCTGCTGTCACTTGTATCGGAGGTGGTTCTTTGTCTTCTTTAGTTTTCTCTTGCTGGTTCTTCAGCTGTATGTTCTCTAGATGCTGGGAATTATTTTGCTCCATTACAATTTTATGGCCACCGTTGGAGATGAGATACATGTTGACATGCTGACTAAAACATCACTGGCCACTATGTGCTTGGATTTCTTAGAAGCTGTATAATCCTTTTCTGTTTGCATTCTAGTAGTGGGAGCCTGGTATCTCAGCTGTGCCTCTCTGGGAGAAAGGCTGGAAATCTAGTGTTCAGTTTTAGTTTGTTGACCAGTGAAGGACTCTGCTATTGTTGTTCACGGCCCCCAAACCCATCCAAGGCTGGCCCCTACATTGTTACAGCTTGCTGAGTCTGTAGCTGTCCCTATCCATGGGCTTTGGGGAACTTGTATCTCTAACTTACCTTCTATGCATGCATTGCTCAGTGTTCCTTCCTCATCCTAGGGAAAAAGGCCAAATGTGATACTTCCCAATTCCAGTGCACCAATGGCCGCTGCATTACTCTGCTGTGGAAATGCGATGGAGATGAAGACTGTGTTGATGGCAGCGACGAGAAGAACTGTGGTAAGTAAAGACTTTGGCGGGCTCACTTGTTACCAAGCTTCAGTTCTTGAGTGGACTTATGCATTCTATTGAAATGTGCAGATGTTCTTTTAGTTTCTACACATGTATTGAGATTCTGTAAATAAAATCCACTTTAAAGTATTGCTGTCAATCAGAGTCCAGTGAATCTATACTGGTCGGGAGGCATATAATTGAATATTTGACATGAGATAATCAACTTGAATATGGAATGTTGACCACCAAGTGGAATTTCTTTCACATGACAAGACCTGATTTATCTTACCTCAGACAAATATGTGCTATAGAAAGCTGAGAAAGAAAAGAAAAGAACAGATGTAGAAGAAGACAGAAGATTGCTTAAAAGTAACTTTATACATTTACAAATGGGGGGATATGTGGAGTGATGTCTTAGTGGTTAAGATTGTATACAGCTTTTCCAGAGGGCCTGAGTTCAATTCCTACCACCCATACTGGGTAGCTCACAGCTGCCTGTAATTCCAGCTCTAAGGGATCTGACACCCTTACCTGACATCCATGGGTATCCCCTGCACACACACACACACACACACACACACACACACACACACACACACACGACATACAATTATACAGACACACACATATACACATAAACGAAATAAATAAATCTTTAAACTCACAAATGGCTCTGATCCAAGAAGATAGCAAGCTATGGACACTACAAAATCCCCTAAAGTTTCAGAAGTTAACTAACTCTGGCATAGAAATAACAAGCCAGCACAGTCCAAGATCAGATAAGGATTCTTCTAATTCTCTGCTCACAATACTTGCTTATTCGAAAGCATTGGGCAGGGTAGAAGACATTCTCTTTCCAAACAAATGTGACTGCAACAGCATACCATTGATCAGAAACTATCAAAGGTCATTGTGAGAAATGCTTGTGCGTATAGACCCCATAACGTCACGTCACAGAGAACAGCTGAGAACTGCATGTCAAAATCACAAAGACCTGGAATTCTTGCTGACGTTTACTCTTTCATCCCTCTGTTCTGTGTTAGAAAAACCCTAAAGCAGTGGTGAGTGGGGAGATTAGTGTGGCCACTGTCATTTGCCTTTTGAAAGATGGTACATGCAATGCGGAGTGTGGAGACATAAGCATATCCCAGCACATGGTACAGAAGAGAAGAAAAGGCCGTGCGGAGTTTTATAGACTGCCATGTTCATTATGTCATTACCTGCGTCTTTGTTTATCATCATTAAAATGCTGCAGACATCATCCTAGGGAGCAATACCCAAGGGACTATGATAGCTCTGAAAGTCCATTCTGAAAAAGCTTACCCCCAGTCTCAAGACGAAGAATAGTCCTCCTGTGCTATCCTTTTCCATCGTGTGTTTTCAGTGGAAAGATTTCAGTCTGCTCCACAAAACACTGAGTTCCCTGCTATTTCTAGGTGGCCCAGAGAATATAGTTCTCGCAATACATATCTCACTAGGAGGACCTCTTTTCAACTGTTCTCTGGTAGGAAGGGGCAAGGCTACTGAGAAATCATGCATTGGGCAAAAGCCATCCCCTACCAATTTTTATACTTCCTATTATAGACAGTTTTATCGTCTAACTCAGCAGAGACACCTGGGTCATTGTGGGAGCAGTGACTGGATTTTCTTTAAGTCCCTTCTGTATAAATACTGTTTACCAGCCCCATGGTAGAAAAATTTGGGCGAGGGAAAGAGGTAGGTGAACAGCATAGTAAATCAAGATCACTTGAGGTGGGATAGATTAAACACATCGATGGGCAGATTTGTTGCTGGATCCCAGGTATGGTGGTAAGCAGAGAAAGTGCGAGCATGCCCAAAGCAGCCTTAAATGTGTGTTTAAAATGGAAAAATTTACAAAGCCTACTTCCAACTTCCCTATCTAACCTTTGACCCGTACTTGGTTGTAATTTTTGGGAGGGCTCACTTTCAAGCTTTACAGCTATTATAATCAGTTTGAGTGTCGATTCCACATCACTTGCTTCTGTTGGTTCCCGAAGTAAGTATCTTATGGCTTTCTTCCCCTGTGGAACACTTTCTATCTTGCTGTCAGTGGGTGTTTCGAACATCTTTTCTTTGGCCTTATAGTGTATGCTCAGAACTGAGAAAGATAAACTCTATGAAGATATGTCCTTATTTATCTTTGCTCAGACTCTCTGTTGCATAGCTGATCTTTCATATCATCATGACATTTTTCACTTTGCAAAACCATCTGCTCTCTTTATGGCCATTTCCCTGTTCTCACTTTTGCAAGTTATAGAGGTGATCATGGGTTGAATTCCAGCAACAGGCCCAATAGCCTGGCCTCTGTTTCCATATGGGCCCAGGGGAACACCAACCTTGGATAGCATTTGCTGTGTTAACACTGTATAATGGTTATTTAGAAACAGGGGTGAATTATGAGCTGGCATGGCTTTCCTTGGTTCCTTAGCTATGTAGTTCAAGGATATGAATAATCCCTTAGGACAATAATTCATCAGCCCATGTTGAATGTTACAAACTGACTATTTCCCAAGTTTAAAGGCTGGATAAGAGTAGCCAAAGAGTAAGCCCTAGCCTCCAAGACCTCCACCTAGCTTAAACCCCGATGCCAAGGGATCTCTTTTAAATTTGCAACATACTTCAGGCTTTGGCTGATTTACAAACACAGAATATTGATTAGAGTGATGCTTTAAAATGGAAGTCTAAGCAGAAAGTACAGACATATAGGTATGGAAGAATCCAATCTAAAAAGACTATCACAGGGTGTGGGTGTCTTATCTGGCTGCTTTGGCAAGACTTCCAGATTCTGGGACTCTTTCATGGGTACAGTGACCAAGCTGCTTGATTTGTTTGTCTTTACTTTCCTGGTCTAATTAGTGGATGGCATGTTGTATTGTAACTCTAAGTCCTGCCCTAGGAAGAATTAGTAGTAGAATTGATATTTTGCCTTAGGCTATTTGTATGGGAGCTGTGAATTATGGGACTAGGTGCTGGCAGCTTCAGTAACTTTCAGTTAGTTGATGTTAAACCAAACTTTGGCTGGAGGCCTGAAATCTCTTTGAATTCCAAGTTCTACCACTTGTTGTTGTTGTCAGTGTTCTAATTGGCGTTAGGTTTGTCTAGTGGATGAGTTCCTCTGCCCTGGCATTGGAGTGGCAGTATTCAGTTCAGGAGCATCAGCATACCTCTACACTAAGTGCATGTTTTGTGAAGAATGTCCCTGAAATAGTCTTGGTTTACACTGCTGTGACAAAAATACCATAGGGATGGCAGCTTAAATGATGGAAATCTGATGTTAGGGTTCTGGGTGTTAGGATGTCCCCAAATTAAGAGGTGGCAGATCCAGTGTCTGATAAAAGCCCTCTTTCTAAATTGCAGATGGCTGTTTTCTTTTCTTTTCTTTTTTTCTTTCTTTTTGGTTGTTTTGTTCTGTTTTGGGGTTTTTTTTGGGGGGGGTGTTGAGACAGGGTTTCTCTGTGTAACAGTCCTGGCTGTCCTGGAGCTAGCTCTGTAGATCAGGCTGACCTCAAACTCACTGAGATTTAAAGGTGTGTGCCACCACCTCCTGGCAATGGCTATTTTCTTACTGTGTCCTCCCATGGTAGAGGAGAAAGAAGAAAGAGGGAGGGAGGGAGGGAGGGAGGGAGAGAGAGAGAGAGAGAGAGAGAGAGAGAGAGAGAGAGAGAGAGAGAGAAGAGAGAGAGGAGAGAGAGAGAGAGAGAGAGAGAGAGAGAGAGAGAGAGAGAGAACAAACAAGCACTAATGTTTCTAACAAGGGCATCAATCCCACTTGTGAAGTCTCCATCCTCCTGACCTAATCACCTCCCTCAAGTCCTCCCTCCTAGAACAGTGCTGTAGAGATTTCAGGATATGAAGTTTATGAAGGCACACATATTCACTCCACAGTGAACAGTTACCCTAAAGGCTAGTCAGAGGATGGAGAGTTTGGTTGTTAAAACCTTTTCTATGGTTTGTCTCCTCTGGAGCTCATGCTGAAGTTTGATTTTTAATAGTATGGTGTTGAGAGGTGGCAGGGCATTTAAGAAGTGATTAGATCAATGAGAGGGAATAAATCCTTTCTCCCTGGACCAGATTAATTACTAAGAGAGTGGGCTGAGAAGCAAGGCACGAGGTCCTCACCCAAAGCTAAGCAGGTGTTAGTGGTATGCTCTTAGGATTCCCATTTCAGAAGCTTGAGTTGAAATAAGTTTCTTTCCTTTATAAATTGCCTACTCTCAAGTGTTCCATTTTAGGGACAGAAAATGGACTTGGAGAAAAACACCTCCGAGTTTGTGAATGAGTTGGAAGAAATCCATAGTGTTAACATTGTAAACAGACCAGTTCATTTGAAACGTCCCTGGGTCATAAGACAATGGACAGCCTTTGTCTTTCTTTCAGTTTATTGTCCTCCAAATCTCTCCAATGAATAACTCCCTCCTCTGAAACCTATGAGGAAAAAGATGAGCTTTCTAAAGATGCCAACAGTTGAATATCAGTCAACAGATTCAGCATTACTTTTAAAGGAAAACATACCGAAGTATAGTTTTTAACCTTAATATGAAAATTGGGGTCTGGGATCATTGACTTCAATTCTAACTCCAAGAATAAACTCTTGTAGTAAAGAAGACATGTGCTGAGTCTGACTTCGTGTGCAAAAACGGCCAGTGTGTTCCTAACAGATGGCAGTGTGATGGGGACCCTGATTGTGAAGATGGTTCTGATGAAAGCCCGGAACAGTGCCGTGAGTGTGCCTTGACTTGCTTTGGACTTGACTTCTTTTGTGCTGTTCTGTCTCCGTTCTAAGTGATGCTTTATCGATTGCTTGACATTCATTTTTCTTTGCCTGCCTTGAACTTGAGGCCAACTGACTTGAAGGTCATTCAAGCTATTAACAGTTATTCCATCTCCTCTAAAGACTGCTCTCCCTAGTCTAACAAGACTGACATTCTCTTGGGTAGCTTCACCTTTGAATACTTAAGACTGAAGCCAGCAGATTCAATTAAGAACTCCTTGACTAGGTGCATAGATTTCAACTGTTTGACAATAACTGAGTAGATGGTCCCCTGAACCTAGAATGTAAGTCAAGAGCTAGTTTCCTAAGGGTGACACATAAGCTTTGAAATGCACAGATTTTCGTACTATGAGAACATGCTATTATTAAAACAGCAAGGTGGTTAGTAATAGGGTAGTTTGAGGATTTTAACAAATGTATAACCTAATGCAGGGGCTATAGAGTTTGTTATTGAATAAGAAAAACTTCATAAAGTTACAAATATATCTCTCTGCCCATAGGCTGATGTACAGGGAGAAGTCCACAAACCACAGAGAAAGGTGTGTTGAGATCAAATAAACTGGGATCATTTGGATGCTAGGATGCAGGAAAGTCTGAAGATTCATCACAGCAGAGGCCTGTTGACACAGAAGAAATAGGATTGGCATGAACCGAGTTTAGGTTAAGGATATGATTATGAAATAACCGAGGTGGTTATTTTCTACCAAGAAGTGGACAATTTTGTCAGTGAGTTAGAAACCTGAGGGTCCTAGACAGGATCTACACAGAGTCAGCCCCATGTTTTAGGGGTTAATGACATGGTAAAATCAAGAATCAGGGTATATTCCTGCTTTGCATATATAAAGAAAGATGTGAATGGAGGCCTAGGAAGGCTACTATTCCATGGAAGGTCTCATAGGTATTAGCCCATCTGACCTTTAATAGAGTCAGGATTAGGTGACAATATCTGGTGTGCCCACTGATATCCAAACATAAGTAATGGACTAGGAACAGGCCAACAAATCAACTTAATTGTGCCAAGTAAAACAAAAGCCAGAACTGAGCATGCCGCAGAACCTTGAAGGAGTGACCTGGTCAAGGTTCTCGGGTACGCTGCCAGGTGGCCTTGCTTGGCATAGCTTCTAAGGACGGAGCTGGCGAAGGAGCTGCCTGGCTTCCACTAGTCAGTGTGCCCCGAGTGCCTGACCACTGAGTCCCAGGTGTTGCACTTCCAGGCAGCACAGGAGCAGCGGCTTTGCAATGACCAGTTTGGAGGCTCTTTTGAGACTGTATGTCATCAACAGATATGAGAACATGCCGCATAAATGAAATCAGCTGTGGCGCCCGTTCTACTCAGTGTATCCCAGTGTCCTGGAGATGCGATGGGGAGAGTGATTGTGACAATGGAGAAGATGAAGAAAACTGTGGTAAGAAGACCAGTGTGAAGTGGCATACCCCAAAGACCCTTTTCCTAAAGAAAGGTGGGCAAGGGATGCTAACGTCAGCCCGAAGACACAGTGCCACTGAGTCACTTTTCAGTGGCTTTGCTGTCTGCTCAATATTGGTCCTTCCTGGCCACCATAAAACTGTGAAAGGCCTATTCCTGGTAATTGGCCACTGCCTGGTGCATCTTCCAGGCAGATAGAAGCAAGCAAAGAAGTCATCTTGATGCTTACATTCAGCATAGTACATTTAGCGTAGCTTAGTAAGGCCGCAGCTATGTGGACTTTTTCCTTTTATGACAGTAATTCAAGGGTTTTCCTTACATTTGGCTCAATAAAACTAGAAGGTGATGGGGCCAGCAGACACATTCAAAGATTTAGTTAGATCAGCTTCTTGGAACAAGTTACTTGAGTGTGATACAAGCATTTCTGCCAACTAGACTCTATTGGTACATTAGCATAGAAGCATGGCCTAACATGTTGCCAGCAGATAGCTAAAGTCTACCCAACCTTTGTGTCCTATGATGATTCCTGTCTCTGAATGCTAGCACTATTTTCTATTCTTTCACACTTATATTCTTGGGGTGTCTATAATGAAGTGTTCCATGTTAAAGGTGAGGCCCTGGAGAAAAATCTGTAGGTTGAAAAACATTGCTTTGAGTGTTGTTGCAACCTACTACTCCTTCATAGTCCTTCTAAACCTGAGTCTCTTGAGCCTAATTTCAGGCTGCTGTAATATCTAAGGGAGTTTAGGGTCCTTGCAAATGAAAAAAAACTAGTCTGGAGCTCAGGGTCCTTGCAGATTAAACACTAGTCTGGAGCTCAGGGTCCTTGCAGGTGAAACACTAGTCTGGAGCTCAGGGTCCTTGCAGATTAAACACTAGTCGGGAGCTCAGGGTCCTTGCAGGTGAAACACTAGTCTGGAGCTCAGGGTCTTGCACATGAAACCCTAGTCTGGAGCTCAGGGTCCTTGCAGATGAAACACTAGTCTGGAGCTCAGGGTCCTTGCAGATGAAACACTAGTCTGGAGCTCAGAGTCCTTGCAGGTGAGACACTAGTCTGGCATGTACAAGTCACTCTGTGGGGGCAATCCCACTGCACCTAGTCCAATGAGTTTCATGTTCAGTCATAGAATCGAGCTTTATCCATTGCCATGGCAAGCCCTGGAGCTGCCAAACATTTCCCTCGCAAATCTACACTTTGCTTCCCAAGAGAGTCGTGGTCTCCTTTCACCAATTACCACCAAATTGTGACCTTGGTATGTTTGGCAGGAATTTAAATCAAAACCTAAACTGGCTACTGTGACTACTTTGTCATGACTAGCATGCAGAGTTGCTAGGCTATGATTCTGGTCCTAGCAGTGGAAAAAATAATCTGAAAATTATTAAGATGGTATTCCTAATGTTTATTTAAAGAACCCAAAAGAAAGGAACCATGTAGAATGTTCTTTGGTTTGTTTCTTTTTGGATAGTGCCTTAATATCCATTTTACATTGCCCATATATAGCTGATACATATTCTCAGCTAGTGATGTGGTTTGGGCTGACATACAATAGGTTGGTCTAGGTATAACTCTGCCTTCCAAAATGAAGTCCCTGATACCAGATTAAGGTATTGATCACTGTCCCTTTAAGTGTCAGTTGTGGGTCTCATCTCAAATTAGTTTCTAGCCTTCTACTGTCTTCTTGGTCCTTTATTTCTGCTCTTATATATAGTATGGCTGCATCTTATTTTATACTGTGAAACTGTTTTGTCATATTTCAGAAACTTGTTCTCAATATAACAGCACTATAGCTTTTAAGTTCAAAAGCTAAAGTTACTCATCAAAGATCAATATATTTGATTTGGTGATGAGAGTCTTGTATTAAAAACAAATGCTGATGCACTTTCAATGGGACATCTTCCCTCCGACAGGCAACATAACATGCAGTGCTGATGAGTTTACTTGCTCCAGTGGCCGCTGTGTCTCCAGGAACTTTGTGTGTAATGGCCAGGACGACTGTGATGATGGCAGTGATGAGCTGGATTGTGCCCCACCGACCTGCGGGGCTCATGAGTTCCAGTGCAGCACCTCTTCCTGCATCCCCCTCAGCTGGGTGTGTGATGATGATGCAGATTGTTCTGACCAGTCAGACGAGTCTCTTGAACAGTGTGGTCGTCAGCCAGTGATACATACCAAATGTCCCGCCAGCGAGATCCAGTGTGGCTCTGGCGAGTGCATTCACAAAAAGTGGCGGTGTGATGGAGACCCTGACTGCAAGGATGGCAGTGATGAGGTCAACTGCCGTAAGTAACTTTCCAATTCTCCTCCATGCATCGACTGGGGACCCTATGGCTGGCTGCATTCCATTGTGTTACCTCCTTTCACAGCTTCTCGAACCTGCCGACCTGACCAGTTTGAGTGTGAAGACGGTAGCTGCATCCATGGCAGCAGGCAGTGCAATGGCATCCGAGACTGTGTTGATGGCTCTGATGAAGTCAACTGCAAAAACGGTGAGGTTCTCTCCATCGTGTTCTGGTAGACCGTTGGTTGCACTGGTCGGACCAACAATGGGACTTCTCTCCTGTGTTTGGTGTTATAGTCAATCAGTGCTTGGGCCCTGGAAAGTTCAAGTGCAGAAGTGGGGAATGTATAGACATCAGCAAAGTGTGTGACCAGGAGCAGGACTGCAGAGACTGGAGTGATGAGCCCCTGAAGGAATGCAGTAAGTGAGGGGCTTGCTTGAGGCCAGAGCTGGGGGGTTCCCTTCAGTCCATCAGAGCCAATGCTGTTTGGACCCTGCTTGAAGCCCTGTTGAACTCAAAATGAGCTAAAATTTAATATAAGCTTGATAATAAAGTCTTATGACATGGGGTTCCACCCAGTGGCAAACTAACCCTGAGTTTAGAAACTCCTTAAAATAACTAAAATTGATAGCAACATGAGTAAATCCTGTATAACTAACTGGTTGCCTACCATCCAGCCTGAAATTTTTATCTACAGAACAAATAATCAGATCTTAGAAAGGCCAGCAGCAGCAGCCTGAGTTTGAATGTGAATAAGACAACTATCAATTAAGAATAAGATGTTGTACTAATTTGGACTCTGGGTTGTGAAACAGAAAAGAAAATGAGCAGTTGAAGTTGGGAGGGAGATGTTTGTGCATCTTCAGAGAGCTGGATGGGGTATGGAGCAGTAGATAAGATCAGAATCCATTGTATCTGTATATGGAAGTCTCAAAGAACAAATCTAAAATATTATATTAAAAATCAAGACGAAGCTGCCAGGTGACTTTTGCTATCCTTTTATTCCAGATATCAATGAATGCTTGATCAATAACGGTGGCTGTTCCCATATCTGCAAAGACCTAGTTATAGGCTATGAATGTGACTGCGCAGCTGGGTTTGAACTGATAGATAGGAAAACCTGTGGAGGTGAGTGGAAGCAAAGAGCCTGGCCCCTGGAGGACATGGGAAAGGGCGACATGCATCTAGTAAGGCAGAGGAACAGCAAGACTAATTCTAATTTCCCTCCTAGATATTGATGAATGCCAAAATCCGGGGATCTGCAGTCAAATTTGTATCAACTTAAAAGGCGGTTACAAGTGTGAATGTAGTCGTGGCTATCAAATGGATCTTGCCACTGGCGTGTGCAAGGCAGTAGGTAAATGGACTTGGGCTGGTGCTGCTCTGGTACCTTTATGAGTTAGTGATTCTAAAAGGTACAGCTGGTGACTGCAGCAGTCAACCTACACATAAAGTCGTACCCCAGAGCAATGCTGCTAAACTAAGGCAGATCACCTTCCCATGCATCTGCCTTGGTCTTTCCTTTTGCATAGGATACTACAAAGAGTCTCCATATTTGCTTCCTTTTTGCTTCTGGAACTGAGCACAATGCAAACAAATATCTTGTTTATCAGCCACCCTACTGTTGAATGCTGTAACCCCAGGACTGCCTTCCTAAATAGGGTAGAAGTACTTACAGGCCCAGGGGGCTTGAACTCCAGGCTGGGTACTACTGAGATGTTCAGCAGTATCTTTAGAAGTGGTCCTCTGTGGAGAGGCAGTGACTTAGAAGATCTTGCTTTATAGCAAACCTAAATCAACCTGGCTTATGTCTTATAGGCAGAGAGCCAAGTCTGATCTTCACTAATCGAAGAGACATCAGGAAGATTGGCCTAGAGAGGAAGGAATACATCCAACTTGTAGAACAACTAAGAAACACGGTGGCTCTCGATGCTGACATTGCAGCTCAGAAGCTATTTTGGGCTGATCTAAGCCAAAAGGCCATCTTCAGGTAACTTTCACTTGCATTTCTAACATCTGGACATATAAGTCACTGTCAGTGGGCCTGTGGAAAGGATTGGGGTAGAGGATGAGGCTTCTATTGTCTCTGGCTCCAGTCTACTATCTAGTCAGTTGGGAGTATTAAACCCAACACTGGTTTTCCAGCTAATAAGTTACTGTCAGCTGTTATTTAGGAATGAATCATTGTTCATGAAGGAAAAGGCGACAATGCCTACAGATGACATCTGAATTCCTCATATTTTCTCCTTCTATAATTGTGAACTGTCTTCTCTTGCTACAAACAGAAATGATGGTAGCAGCTTTTCCTCAGTGGAAACTGTTGACCTGATGATGGCAGCTGAGCCAAATGCTTTCTTTGCATCTAGAATACATAACCACAACTAGACAAGCTACAATATTGCTAATTTTCCATCCCTAAGCAACATGGCTGAATAATTTTAGTGGAGAGCTGTGGGGTTCCTAGGGTCCTTTCTGAATAAAGTCCTTGACCATTTTATAAACAGAAAGTCCATTCTCCAGGGTCCAATGGTGACAACTTTTAAATTTCTTGTGACCTATTCTGTTTCAGTGCCTCAATTGATGACAAAGTTGGTAGACATTTTAAAATGATCGACAATGTCTATAATCCTGCAGCCATTGCTGTTGATTGGGTGTACAAGACCATCTACTGGACTGATGCGGCTTCTAAGACTATTTCAGTAGCTACCCTAGACGGAGCCAAGAGGAAGTTCCTGTTTAATTCTGACTTGCGAGAGCCTGCCTCCATAGCCGTGGACCCGTTGTCTGGGTTCGTATTCTATGTTTTCCTTCACTTAGCCTTTTGAGTGCTAGCCACATAGGTTGGGAGCTTCTCTCATGCATCCTAAGAGTGCCCAGGAACAGAATTATCTGGTTCAAGACATCAATGACACTGTTCATTGTCTAGCCCATTTCACTTTTCCCTATACATCTCCAGCTAAGTCCCTTTCTTTATCTCCTCTCTCTCTCTCTCTTCTCTCTCTCTCTCTCTCTCTCTCTCTCTCTCTCTCTCTCTCTCTCACACACACACACACACACACACACACACACACACACATTTATGTATCTTTATGAAATCTAGACTCTACAAGTAGGAAAAAAAGATGTGTGTGATATTCGTGGTTGGAGTCTTACTATACCTAATATGATCACCGCCAGTTGCCTCCATTTTCCTCAAAATGACATAATTTCCTTCCTCTTTATGGGTAAATAAAACTCCATTGTGTACATGATCAACTTGAATGAAAATATCTTCTTGAGACCAATCATGATGCATAATGAAGGTACATTAGTAAAAAGAAAAATGTTGTAACAAAATACAGAGCAGTCCTGGGGCAGCCCTTATGTATGATGTGCCTCCCAATCTCACTCCTGACTGTCCAGGTGCATGACGGCATTAGTGAGGCTTTAAATTTCATGTATGACATACACCAAAAGTGATGTCTGAATCCTTTGTCCACCCAGATTCTGAACAAATAGTGTGTGTGTGTATGTGTGTGTGTGTGTGTGTGTGAGAGAGAGAGAGAGAGAGAGAGAGAGAGAGAGAGAGAACACTTAGCTGGGTTGGTTAGCTCTGGGTAGTCAAATCTAGGACTCAAAGAAAACACTGGTATTTGTATAACCCTGTCCCCTCAAGGCTTCCATCTAAAAATGCAAATTGTGTGAAAGTTCAATTGAAAGGAACAGACTATTGTCAAAATATTTCACTAAGGCAGGCAGCTTGGAAAAAGGTAACTGTAGTCTCACAGTTGGTCCCTGTGAAAGATTATTAGAACATAATCCCCAAGCTCCTTCTATAGAGCTTACAGAAAAGGGATCCTTCGTGGATCTGAAAGAATATGCCTTTAGAAAGGAAATGTACAGCCTTGGGACTTTGGGCTGGTACTTACACATCAGACCAACACAGACTAACATAGCTATAACTTGGACATTATATTATTGTCTCCTATAGTCCTGAGGAGTAGATCCAGAGCCTCATGCATGGCAAGCCAGGTGCTCTACCACCAAGCTGTGCCTCCAACCCTTGTCCATTCTCGCTGTTCAATTTCATGTACACAAAACATAGTTAGAGCCTTAAGCATCAGCCTTTATCTTGAGAGCCTCAAGCACAAGAGTTTTCTGTGCCCCCTTTAAGCTTTGGATTTAAGTCACAGCTTTCTTTCTTCTTAGCCACTAAGGCACGTTTCTGGTTTGACTCTTCCCAGCTTTGTTTACTGGTCAGACTGGGGCGAGCCAGCTAAAATAGAAAAAGCAGGGATGAATGGATTTGATAGGCGTCCACTGGTGACCGAGGACATCCAATGGCCTAATGGAATTACACTTGGTATGTATGTCCTTCTCACTCCTTCACTGGTAACTCCCTTCATCGTGTTTAAACGTATGCCCATTGTAAATTTGAGATGAGGCTCCTAGTTCCGTCTGTAGCTGGAGAGAGGGGCTGAACAAACATGGTGGACTTAACAAATTACAGGTACCAGGATGGCTGGCTTGTCAGCTAGTTGGTCTAATATACAGTGGAAACTCAGTGACTCTTGGATCTCGGGGGGGGGGGGGGGGTTTCATATGGAACACCACAGGCATGGGTGCCTTAGCTTTTCCTGGGTGGTAACTTGCAACTGTTTCCTTCTGAATTATCTGGGAAGAAGTGAAAAATACAAGCCTTTTTAAAAACACTTTCTATAAAGTAACATATCCCCAGTCAGTGACTTTGAGAGTCTTAGAAATCCCATTCCACCACCCCCCCCCCCGCCCCCACAGACAGAATGCAGATACAGGTTCTATCACTGGCTTCACGAGTATTATGGTGTCCCCACTAAGAACTCCGGATAGAAAAGAAACCAGAAACCGGAATAGATTCTTTGGATATTTTTAAATAGAAGCCAGAGCATCAACAGCTCCTATTGTGTCAATTATCTTCTTGCCTAGACCTCGTCAAAAGCCGTCTCTACTGGCTTGATTCCAAGCTGCACATGCTGTCTAGTGTGGACTTGGATGGCCAAGATCGCAGGATAGTGCTCAAGTCTCTGGAGTTCCTAGCTCATCCACTTGCACTCACAATATTTGAGGTAAGACATGCACCTCACGTATAAGAGGACACTCTTAGAACAGGTACATGGGAAGAGGAGGGAACAATAGGCAACTGAAAAACTTTCACCTAAAGACTGGTACACATTGGTCACTAAGTCCTCATAGAACTTCAAGAAACATGAACTTGCTTCTCTTACCCGTCATACTCAATGTCCCAGAAAACTATTCAATAACCTTACCCCATTACATGATGAATAAATCATGATATTAGATCTTGATTTGTGCTAATCTTGGATGCACATGCTAATTGTCAGGGTTCTGTTTTAGGATCGTGTCTACTGGATAGATGGAGAAAATGAAGCAGTGTATGGTGCCAATAAGTTCACTGGGTCAGAGCTGGCTACTCTAGTCAATAACCTCAATGATGCCCAAGACATCATTGTCTACCATGAACTCGTTCAGCCACCAGGTAACATGAGAAACCCACTCCTTAATGACCATGCTAAAGGAGTAGTGTGATCTAGCACCTACTACCTACTGGCTCCTTAGCTACTCAACCTCCTTTAAAATGTCCTCTTGTCCTCTTGAACTCTAGGCTAAACTCCACACTTGATGTCCGGTATCTTATTCCAGCCATCTTGGAAAAATGACTTCCGAGTCAGCTCTTAGCTCTTTTCAACCCTTAGTGGCATAGTTTTCATCTCGATTTCTTCTAGAGTCCCATCGCTAAGCCTACTGGACGAGCTTGCGCAGTAGCCTTCAGGCCACAGATTCTCCTTATGATTTGTTTTCTAGGTTTGTTGTAACAAAGTACCACAAATCAGGTGCCTTAAACAACAGAAATTTACTGTCTCACAATTCTGGAAACTGAAAGTCCTAAGTCAAGGTGTTAGTAAATTGGTTCCTTTCAGGGACTTGAGGGAAGGCTCTTCTGTCTCAGACCTCTCTTCTTGGCTTGAAGATGGCCATTTCTCCCAGTGTCTAGTTACACTTTTTTTTTAAATATATGCTGTTGCCCATATTTCATCTTCTGAGAACACTGGACACTTGAGGTTAAGACCTACCCCAAAGACCTCATCTTAAGTTGATTACCTCTGTCAATACCATATCTGCATATAAGGTTACATTCTAAGACACTGGCAGTTAGGACTTCAATGTGCGAATTTTATAGAGACACACAACTTAACCCGTAACACCTATTCTTCTCCATGGCACATCTTAAACAGGATTTGACAAATCATCAAACGTATCTAGTCATGTTTTCTCCTGCCCAGAATACCGGTTTGCCTATCAAATGAGACCCTCACATCTCCCTGTGGCTGAGCTCCCTTTCACTTTGTCAATATAATGCCAGGAAAATATGACTTGTCTCCTTCTTCTGACCCTTCACTCTAAGCTTTGAACAAACAGTATGAGCCAGGCCTGGTCCCTCACCTCCCTCCACACTAACCCGTGGAAGACAAAATTCTTACTCTACTTCCAAGAAACCTCTGACTCTGGTATCTTTAGAGCGTGTTTCCAGTACATTGATTGATACCCATTCAACATCAGTGATAGTCTTCAGGGATGTTAGTCTCACCTGAAAGATTGACAGAGTACACAAAGTTAAGCTCCATCGAGACCATAGTTAGTTAACATTGCAATGCCTATTTTAAAGGACCTTTTTCTCCTGACTAGGTAAAAATTGGTGTGAAGAAGATATGGAGAATGGAGGATGTGAATACCTCTGCCTGCCAGCACCACAGATTAGTGACCACTCTCCAAAATATACCTGTTCCTGTCCCAATGGGTTCAGTCTCGAGGAGAATGGACGAGCGTGTCAAAGTAAGGCTTTCTGCATCTCCGCCACAGGCAAGACACATAACAAGCACTGAAAGACACTGCCTACGACAACTTGCCTGGAGTCTAGAAATACTGCTGTTGTTCACTTTTGAAATCGACTATAGAGTATTAGGTGGTGGTGTTGCACAACAGGCATTTGTATCAGTATGTTGGAGCTGACATGTGTCCCATTTCAACATCAGATGAGTTTATCAATGACCAAAGTGTCAATGTACCACACACTGATTTGTACCCATCACTCTGTAACACCCCTGAGCTAGCCAATGTTCAGGTACTTCAAGTCCTCCACAAAAGGCAGAATAAAAACACTGAAGACATTTGAGGAAGGAGGCCATGGTTGTAGGATACTTACAGACCTCAGTAGATGACATAAATTTAAGCTCTCGGGTAGTCAGAACTTGAATTTTAATATTTTGTTCTCAGCTTTCGATTAAGCAGTGGGCTGAACTTGCTTATTATAAGCAAGGTGCTCACACAATGATGTCTTAATTAACATCATTCTGCATCTTGATTTCCTGAGAAAATAGGTGCAGGACCACTTGATGTGCATAGCACACCAGACCTTTTTTAGAACATTTGTGGTCATTCAGGAGCCTGGGGTTTTGTTGAGAGGGTCTCTGTGTGGCTGTGAATCTTTCTGCGTTGTCAAATTCCACATGCTGACTGCCCTGCCCAAAGTTTTGTGTTTCTGGTTTTTGCTTGAAGCTGGCTAGTTCTCTCATACATCCACTTTACAATTTAGTTCTACAGTGGGTTGTCCCTTTTCATGGAGTTAAAATAACCCTCCAACATGATTTCTCTGGACTATGCAGCCAGCCACACAGGAACCTTAGCTATAACCAGGTTCTTGGTTTTTATAATCCAGGTACTTCAACTCCTGTGACTTACAGTGAGACAAAAGATATCAACACAACAGACATTCTACGTACTAGTGGACTGGTTCCTGGAGGTATTGGGTCCAGTACTGCAAACCGTTAATCGCAACTAACTGCCGCTTAAATAATTAATGCAGCCTTTAACTATTGGTTCTGCCCCAACTGGCTACTTGTGCCTGAAAGATTTCAGAACCTGTGTATCCTGGATTTCTCTGACTTATTTAAACCTGTTGGTAAAATGGCCATGTAACTCAAATAATTCTAATCCCAAGTTTTTCTGGTATGGAATTATAGCGGATACTAGAGATTAATATTAGGTACAAAAGGTTTGAGGACATCTACCTGATGGGTAGGTTTCTAAGTCTTAATTCAAATCGTGATAGACTGATTCCTTGTATGTCCTTGTAGGGATCAACGTGACTACAGCAGTATCAGAGGTCAGTGTTCCCCCAAAAGGAACTTCAGCTGCTTGGGCCATCCTTCCTCTCTGTAAGTACATTCGCTTCTCATATAGACAGTTCTAGTTTATCAACAGCCTTTCTGTGGTTTCTTATGCTATCATAACACATGAGACACTGAACTGCATTCACTCCCTCAACTGTCTGGTACCTACTCTTCAGTAGTATCTTTCACGTGACAGTGGACACCAGTGAACATTCACCAATTGCCTAAAAGGTCTTACTGCTTTCTGGGTTGAGCTTGTTAGCCTTGTTTATCCCTGCATAGAGGAAGCTTGTTTAGCAAGAATTTTGTTCTAGTCCCATTTGTTGTATATAATAATCACAAAGAGGTCAACAAAGGTTCAAATGCTTTTTTGACAGAGTTGTAAAATTCATAAAGGGTAAATTTTTGTCGGGGAGGGTTTTTTGTTTTTGTTTTTGTTTTTGTTTTTGTTTTCTTTTTCAGCAAGAGGTTTCTTTGTATAGCCCTGGAACTAGCTCTATAGACCAGGCCTTGAACTCATAGAGACCCACCTGCCTCTGCCTCTGAATGCTGGGATTAAAGGTGTGCACCACCACTGTCTGGCCATAAAGGATAAATTTAAAGTAATTAAAGTTTTTAAACTCAGGGGAAAGGGTCCTCTAAAGCTGCTATCAGGCATGTGAAGTCTAAGGCACTTTGATTTATTGGCTCCGTTGACCTAGCTTACTCGTTTCCCTAATACACCAGGACCACTTGACTGGCACTCCAAAGGCTTCTGTGATTTTCATGAAGCTGGCCAGGGTTGTGACTCAGGACTCTGTACTTCACCCAGTGTGGAAAGCCCCAGTATAAATATTCACACAACCACTGGGCTGAACTTACTTCGAAATTTTGTCTCATCTATATTCCACCTTCCCTAAAACATGGAACTTTCACTAACATCGATTACCATAGATCCATGCCTATAAAACTTCACTTCTGATGTTTTTCAGTGCTCTTGGTAATGGCAGCAGTAGGTGGCTACTTGATGTGGCGGAATTGGCAACATAAAAACATGAAAAGCATGAACTTCGATAATCCTGTGTACTTAAAGACCACTGAAGAGGACCTCTCAATAGACATTGGTAGACACAGTGCTTCTGTGGGACACACGTACCCAGCAGTAAGTCTGCTTTGTCTGTATTTACTGTGGCTTGACATGAGTCTCTTCAAAGGAGGCCAGAACCTCTAGCTATGGGTACCTGGGCTGGGAAGGATCATGGAGTCCCTGGACACTTTATCCACTGGCTGCATGTTAGATGCTAAATGTCTGGCCCGATAAAACAGTCAGTTGATCAGCATCTCACCCACAGAGGAAGGCAGGTAAGTCCTATTCCTCATTATTTTAGATTATAAAAATGACATGTAAATAGCAGTATGAACCAACTGGCTTGTTTTTAAACTTCAATTCCTGCATCCTGGATAGCTAAAGGTAAATCAGGATGGCCCTATGAGGATTGTGTATAGGGGAGTTGGCTGAAAGTCAATAGCTTGAGTAAGATTCAATTAGCCTAAAGTGCTAAATGCTTTCTTTCAAGAGGTGCTCCATCCCACCCAGGAGAGCCAGCTTTCCGCAGGAGCAGCAACCGCAATCATTTGTTCCTCCCCTCAAGACCCAAGTACACATTCGGCCTCCACTTCAGCACCATGCTGAGTGAAACATGCTGAACAGGGGCACTGCCCTTGCCCGTTCTCCAGGGGAACATGGAATAGTGTTCAGTCCACGTTAGGTGTCTTTCCACATTTGTTTCCAAGATTTACACTCCTTAGAATCAGGCATACTGTTTTTGTTTCTTTTTTTTCTTCTAGCAAGCAGGTGTAGGCTAACTGTCCCTTATTTGAAATACTTTGGTGGTAGAAGTGTTCAGGGTTGGGTGTTTTGTTTTTGTTTGTTTGTTTGTTTGTTTGTTTGTTTGTTTTTAGGGAGCATGGATTTTGGAGTTTTTGCATACACAAAATGTCTGAACAAAAAAAATCCATTTGGTTCATGTATTCTTATACACATAGTCTAAGATATTTTACACAACATTTTAATGTGTGTTCATTTTGATCACAACCAATAACATAAGGTGAGGTGTGGAATTTTCTACTTATAGTATCATAGTGGCACTCAGAAAATTTCAGATTTTGGAGCCCTTTTGGGTTTCAGTTTTTCAGGTTGGGAACAAATACAATTCATGTATCTGGCCTGCAATTCTTTGCGTCTGTGAATGGCCAACCCAAGTCCACTTCATAGAGCTGCAAACAGGGAGTAACCACCAAGCTCACCTGAACCTTTTTCTTCTCTGCAGATATCAGTTGTAAGCACAGATGATGATCTGGCTTGACCTCTGAATAAGTCTTGACCTCTGAGGTCTAAGCCAACAACACTCCACTCCAGAATGGTAACCGAGTCAGCGCTGAAGTCTCCTTTCTTCCTCCCATCTGGAAGAACATCAAGATATCTTTCCACGGATCAAGTTTGTGTACTTGACCATTTTTATATTACTTTTGTAAATATTCTTGGTCACATTCTACTTCAGCTTTGGATGTGGTTACCAAGAATCTGTAACCCTTGGATCTCTAGACAGTATTGCCATCTCTGGCCAAATATGCACTTTCCCTAGAAAGCCATAGTCCAGCAATGAACCTTGTGCTATAGTGACTCCCACCTGTACATACATTGTATAGGCCACCTGTACATATCCCAGAGAACAATCACTATTCTTAAGCACTTTGAAGATATTTCTATGTAAATTATTGTAAACTTTTTCAATGGTTGGGACAATGGCAATAGGATAAAACGGGTTACTAAGATGAAATTGCCAAAAAAAAAATTTGTAAACTAATTTTGTACGTATGAATGAAATCTTTGACCTCTGTGGAGGTTTGCAAAGACTGACTTCAAACTACTGTACATTTTTTTTCAAGTGCTAAAAAAATTAAACCACACAGCTTAACCATGGTTTTGATTATTCCTCTAAAATGAACTGGGAACAGCCTGTGTATCACCAAATGTTCTAGACATTTGAGCTATAGCTCTTGGTGTTGTATACCTAGCCCATAATTGGACTAGCATCTTTTACAACCAAGTGCTAACTAAAGAAATAGCTACCATTTAGTATTTGTTCCCCCAAATTTATCAATCTTCCTTCCTCCCTTCTTTCCTTCCTTCCTTCCTTCCTTCCTTCCTTCCTTCCTTCCTTCCTTCCTTCCTTGCTCGCCTCAAGCTTGCAGTGTTCCTGCCTCAGCTTCCTGACTTCAAGGATTACATGTCTCATGTCTGTACCACTACACCCAGCTCACGTATTTCTTATTTTATAAAAGGCACTGTCTTCCCAGAATTCCTTTTGCTTGCAGAAGATTACCTTTCTTTCTCTCTTTTTTTTTTCACAATGATCTAGAAATCCATGCTAAGATTCCCACAAGTTCTCATGCTTTGTTGTCCATGTTCTGTCATGAATTGTAGGTCAAAGATAAGTGCCTTCCATGGCATGGGGAAGGGTTTACTCTTACAAGAGCCTGACTTGTCTTACCGTGAAGATGGGTAGGAAGGATACTAGGCAGCATTGTTGTTAAACAATCTAAATTGTGGTTCTCAACATGCCCCAGGAACAGCAATATCACTGCTAGGAACTTAACAGAAATAAAAATTCTTGGTCCTCACCCCAAACCTGCTTAATCAGAAACCCCAGTAATGGGGACCAGGAAACTCTTCATATAGTTCTGATATAACCTAAAGTTTGATAAAAACTATTCTTATGTGGCTTCATGGAGATTATAATTGTAATGTGTTCAACACATTGCTGGTCTATAGCATTAGACATGTAGACATGTTCTTCCTATGGAGAATTCGTGGACCTTTGTGTGGCGAACAGCTAGGGAGTTGGAGGTGGAAAAGGGGTACTGTGTCAAGGGGAGAGTTTTCTGAGTTTTCTATCACATTGGCCATCACGTCCCTACTCTGACGTCTCAAGACATCTAGAAGTGAAGAAAGATGCAAGGCTTAAAGCACAGACGAGATGCTCCAGTAACTCCACTGTGAGGTGGGCACAGCAGAAAGGGCACTGGTTCCTTGGGGATGAAATGGCTGAGCTAGCATCTAAAACAGACAAGGTCATCTCATCTTTAAAAACCTTGTCTCCTCTGCAGAAACCTAGCATTAGATAGAACTTGTTGTATTTTAAAAGGCACAAAGCCATTTTTTAAAAAAAAATGAAGTGCTTAAATATTGATAAAGCATTGATGAGTATTGCTAGAGAGGTTAGTTATCTGGTGAGACTACTAAGTGATTCAGTGGACAACAGTTCACGAGGGATGAGAACCCTGACCTTTATAACCCGTACAAGAGCTTGAGAACTGTATATGAGATGGCTTGACATAAGTTGGCTGTATCTCTAGAGTTTAATGTAGTGGATAATTCATTAAGAGGTAAAACATGAAGCATCAAATTCTTAGAAAGGATATTTATAATTAAACCAGCCTGTCACATGAGGCCACAGTGAGTGGAACCTCAAGGCACTTGAGGAATACCTGCAAAGGACAGACAAATCAACAGATTTGTGGACCCTGGTAAAGAAATTCAGCCAAGTCTAGGAGTCCAAAATTTTAAGAGTTTGTTGCAAGCTAAATGCTCCTTGGCAAGAAGCAGGCCCAGTAGATCACTGGTTCCCTTAGAATATTCTAACAGCTACTTTGAAGATTTGGCATCATTTCTGAGCCTTTGGATCTGGATAAATAGAGGGCAAAATAATTATTTGAGGCTTCAACTTGGGCACTTGCCTTGACTCGTTTTATGTCTAGAAGGCAGACATCCCCTCTTAAAAATGAGCAGGCAGGTTTTAAATGGCACAGTTGATGACCAGTTAAAGGAGTCCCTTTTCAGGTGGAAACATTGCAGAAATCTGAGACCCACCTAATGTCTAGCTTTTAACTTCACCCCCATCCAAAGATGCTGGTGGACTTCCCATGTATCGTGTAGTTAAACAGAATTTATTTCCTAGCATTCTTACCTAGTAAAATCTTGCCTACTGGAACAGTATGTTCCCTTAAACCCAAATAAATGTCACACTACTTTCTTTCACTTCTGGCAAAATAGATAAATAAATAAAGCAACCACAGACCCTTTTGCTTACTTAAGTTCAAGAACAAAACAAAATGCTACTCCTGATCCAGAACTTTGAGCCCTTCATTTCTGAAGCCAATGTTTTGCCCTCTTTGGAAAGACTGAGAACTTCATCCCTATTGTAGCCATAGTCTAGACCCTTACACTGGGCTAATTCTAGAAACGGAAACAAGTCTGCGAAGGTGTCTCGTTTTCAAGGAGAAAGGAGATGACCTGGAAGATGAGACAGTCATGGTTCAGGTTTTGTTGCTGTTTGTTTGCTTGTTTTTCTCACATCCAGCACAGAGGTTTCCAGCTCACAAGAACTTCATGGAAAGGACAATAACCACCATTTTTGTATGAATCTCATTCCTACCTACCTTCACCAATGAAAAGCTGAATGTTAGTTAGTAGAGAGTCTAAAATTGAGGTTTGCGATCATGTGTTCCATCTCTTTACAGAGTCACTTCAATCTGTTTAGTATTTCTGAACCTGGTTCTTCCAAGAAACAGGAATGAAGTGGGACCACAGACCCAGAGCCCATTTAAGTCCTCCTGTGTGTGTCTGTGTGGACCCTGAGACAAGTGTGAGACAGGGAGAGCGTGGGGAGGGTGGGCTCGGCAGGGACTCTAGGCTAGCTCAAGAATGGCTGCTCCTTGGCTGTGCTTGGTGGCAAAGTTAGATGGGCAGCTTGGTGGGTGTCTTTAGAGTTCTACCTATTATGTCAATAGCACATATTTCTCTGTCCTGGGTGTGCTAGCTCGGTCAAGTCACCAAGCATCTCTGTGGTATGGAGATGATAGGGATGCACTGGGACAATGGGATGGAGGAGTCCAAGAGCTCAGCACAGTGCCTGGCATTTGGTGTGTATGGGCAAACGTACTGACTATTGCTGTCAGTATGTGTTCTTACACAGCCTGAGAACTGATAAGTGACTACCAGTGAGCATTGCAGGCAGATTCACTCATTGAGTAACAAGAGCCTTTCCTCACCCTGAATGGTTGTTCCCCATCACACCGAAGTCTGAAGTTCAGGAAAGATTTTTACCTCATACAGGTGAAAGGCCTTAAAGGATGATACGGTTTAAACCTTAGAATCATAGCTGGTATGTGTCTACTTCCGTCTTTGACTGCTTCTCCTAGGATGTAGAAACACATATTGGCACCTGCAGAGTCTTTAAATGGCTAAATGTTTGTAATGACCCTTCAGTTCTTACCATATGCTTAATGTCGTGTTAAATAAAGGGTTCTCCCGTCTTATCAGATCCTCCCAGTAACCCTAATAGGAAAGCATCTTCATTCTGCAGATGTGAAAGCTAAGGACATGAACCATGTAAGATCCCAAACTAAGTAGGCTGCCATGGTCTCGGGAGAGGGTGCTGTCCTGTGCAAATGTTAAGGTGGATATCACGTTGTATGTTTGCTGAGTCTCCTTTCCTACAGATTGTAGAGCACGTCTGCAGTTTCTCAATTGTTTTAGATTCCCCATCCAGCAAGATGGTGCCCAGAACTATAAAGCTGGCATGGCACCATGAACATGGTACCAGAACAGCATGGTAGAGCTCGTTTAAGTCTAGTATCTTGGTAGCCATCCAGGGATAGCTTTAAAGCAAAAGATACAAATTCCCTGCAGGAACTTGGAGACATCACGTCCGTTTCTAGCAGAGCATGTTAGGAGAAAGCATGCTACCGCACAGTAATTCTCAGTTTCCAAGGTAGCCAAGGGACAACGCACCAGAGAAGACAGGAGGGAATGTGGCTTGTTCACAGAGTAATGGTGCTGTGTCTTCAACTGATCTCAACTGTTCTAGAATCTGCCCTAACACCTGGCTGTTCCTCAGTTGACATGTACACTTGGGGAGAAAGGAATGTTTTGAACAAAATTACTTTCACGAAACTGTCTTGCCTCTTTTCAACATCACACTTGATACTAAGAATATGATTCAAGAGCATGGGATGCCTCAGAAGGCCCATGAACACACCCTGACCATTGCCTTAGGATCGTCACTGTTGTAAGGGCACATGTTGGAACACATTCAGTCCTTCTGACCTGTAGATAACTATTTTTCTCTAAATGAACTGTACATTTATCTTAAATAAAAATTTATTTTTGAGATAACTGTTGCAAGCCTATTTTCTTCTAGAGACCTTTTGGGAAAACATTTGCTCAAATCTTCCTTCTTTGCTCAGCTGAATAACTAAGGGTGGCTCAGTGGCCCTTTAAAGAAAACACTAAGAATCATCCAGACCTGAACTGGTCAGGCCAAGATGACCCCTCTCTTGCCACACTGAGAAGGCCTCCCTACAAGAGACAGTGTGTTAGTTACCTCCTCACATCCCCCAATCCCTGTCCCTCCTGTGAAAGAAACAAAGTCAAAGCCATTTTCCAGGAGACTGTTGGACCAGTTCTTCCTCCCCAGGATGGCTAGATCAGGCTGCACTTGGCTTCTGAAGGGATGATGCTCCAGGATGGCAGCTCAAACAGGCACAGACCAACAGGGAAAGCCATTCCTCCATTTTCTGCCTCATCGGCTCTTCCAAGGTCCATTGAAATAGATTCGTGATCAGGATAAATTGTCATGAACCTTAGAATTATTTCACTTGAACCTTTTCTACGAAATAGGTCTCCAGAGTTTGAATTATATTGGCTGCAAAATCTTGAAATTGACTCCGGAAGGAGATAAGTAAGTTGGAAGATAGAAAAACTCAAAAAAGGAAGACAGGAAGAAGGGAAGAAAGGGATTGAGAGAGAGCAGCAGGAAGGGGAGGGGAAGGAAAAGAGGGGAGCGAAGGAATCTTGGAAAAGTTGAAGGTCACTCACTCTAGTGAGTACTTAATGAATGGAAAGAGGCACAAC